GCTTACTAAGAAGCCAGTAATGAAAAAAAATTTCGTTGATCCAAGAGGGGCTTTTCATAGAAACATTATTAGTTGTGTCAACTGATACAGATTCATTTGTGGAATAATGCGCAAACCAGTTGGTTATCTTCTGCTAGTATCCACAAATCCGAAAATTCATCGAAGTGGGCAAGATATAAGTAATCTACGGACGATGCTTGTTTGCACAAAATCATCAGAGCATGACATCAGAGTTCAACACCGATGATTCACCGCGAATGTGTTGCGGAAGGGGTAGGCATCAGGAGGCCCTATTGAAGGTCTTGGTCTATTTAGCAGCTCGCTTATTATGCATTAGGTCACAATCACAATCACGATTAATCCTAATGGAGCACTCACCTTTTTCTTTGAACAGCAAAACATACAGGGAATTACAAGGGTTCCAATCCACAAACCGAGGGTCAACACGAAGGCGACTCCGAGTATTATAAGTTCAATAATGTAAGTGCTATTTTTGACTTCGTCGGGTTTCACCTCCTCTGGTAACACATCGAATACTGGATGTTCTTGCTTCGTAGTTAGCACAAGGGACTTGAGGTAAGCGATAACATTTTCCACCGTGATATCGTTGAGTGTCAGTACAGTTCCGCTGACTTCCGGGATCGTAGTGGGTCGGAAGACTAGGTTCATGGCGCCACCAGTTAACGAGGGTGAAAAAATGGCGGCAAATTTCTCGAAATTGCTGGCAATAAGGGAGCCAGCCATTTTGTTGGCCGATTAACACAGTTCTGATCACAGCTAAAAGCATACATAATTATAAGTTGATGAATTGTGCTAAAAAGTAAAGAACGCTGAGGAGCCTGACTGCTCAAATAACTGAAAGAGGGAAAAAATTGGGAAGTGGTTCGACTGAGTTACCAACAAATCTTCTGACCAGCATTTATCACTCTCGGCCAAACACAAACACATGGTCAGCGGCTCGGTAATCTTAGGATAAAAAGTCGACACTGATTACTCGCGCGTCACGCATTCAGTCTTTCCACTCTCAATCGGAACGAAACAGGACGAAATAACTTCCGAACGGTCAACAGTCAAACGTCGCAGCAACAGCCGAAATAAATGCTGAAATATTTAACTACTCACGAGTAGTTGATCATTTATAACTGTCGTGCGGGTGAAGAATGGAGCAAATGAAGCCAGTGTCATTAACTGTGTGAGTGACTCGATAGTGATCCATACCCTTTGAATAACCGGCCTCCAACTTTGATGAACTACTCAGTTCTATCTGAAAGGTTGCTCGTGGCAAGCTTTCGGACGCGTGTTAGCAAGTGCGACTAATTATTTCAAATGTCACAGATTTTACGTCTCTAACAGTTGAGGGGTTCTTCGTTAACAAGCCGTTTTGCTGCCATCCCAACTTCCATAGTGGCTCTTTGTTTAGCCCAAAGAAAATTGCCACTTTTACCCTGAAGCAAACATTTCTGACAGTTCGTATGGCAGGAAAAAGGACAATTTCTGTTTTTAGTCTTTGAACCAGTGGCACAGAAGTCTAGATCGTTACTCTTTAAAATAGTGCTGGTGGATGGAATACAGTTAAACCTGGGGAGCAGCAATCTTATGATTACGGAAACGATTCAGACAGGCTCCGAAAAGTTTAGCCAGGCGAAGCATTTTATACCCATTCAGGTTAAGTAAGAGGGGTTGGATAGGCTACGCAGTTTTTCGGAACCGTTTCAAGACCACATTTACACACAAATATCAAATTTCTTATACCAGCTGTAAGTTTTATCCGAACAAAGAACCTTTGGCTGGGAAGCGGTTAGGTCTTCTCCAAGGCTCAAAGAATACCAAAAAACTAGCAGACTTTTCAAGGGCAGTTAGTCTGTTTGGAGAAGTGAACTACTGTTTCGGTGAACTTCCTTAGAGGTTGTTGTCAGGGCTAAGATAAGCCGCAATACTTGTGTGCTATGCTTGTCTGAGAATCCCACTTGGATCTACCGGCTGGTGAATGTTTATAGCTTGGTGAATCACTGCACCTTATAATCTTTACATGACTGTGTAGTGGTACGAAGTTTTTGCTGACAGAAATTAGGAGTTCTCTGGCATCAGCGTAGCTGAATATGTCATGGAGGATAATGTTACCAGCTCAGGTAGCAGAGATGATCTTTGGTCTGTTCACCGAGCTGGGCAAACGCTTCCTCACCAATCGACCTGACTTATCTGTGCGTTGTCAGGGTGCGTAGTTGAACGTGTGTTGATATAAGTGCTGCTAGCTGGGGCTGATTTTTGATCATGATTAGCTGTTCGGTCAGGCGGTTCCTTGGTTGGTCTGTTATCCTCTGCCCTGATTGGTCGATGACCAAGTGACCTTTGAACTTGGCCTGCCCTGCTGTGCCCTCGTAGTCTGGTCAATGCTGGAGTGACTCCTTTACCTGACCCTTCTAAGTTCCAGCTCATAATCTTGGGTGACCCGACTCAAAGCTATTCCTTGTTTCTTAGCTTGTGAAGCCGACATTCGGCTGTCCTTAAATATTCCGGTAGAGATGTTGGTCTCTCTTATGCAATGGTGAGGAAATTGGATCTAGTGCATCGGTTGACTGAAGCCGCCTTGGAATACCATGCTTCCTGAAGTTCCCTTCCGTGCCTTTCGTCTCCGTATGCCGAAATCTCTATCCTATCCAGATCGAATTTGTGGTTCTTTTGATCTTCGAGTATGGATAACAAGGATAGGAAGTAATGTTTCCTGACGGCCACGTTGTGCTCCTTTATTTGTGTGCATAATTTCTTCGCAGTATGTCCAACATCGAAATTATTGCGGTTGTTCCGGTTGATTTTTTGCGTCCCACATTTCCTCTTGGTTTTGTATTATTTGTCCTTCGATCTTCAGATTTGTTTCTCTGAGGTGACGTTCGGTTTGTGGGCTGCGGGGATTCTGTTTTGAGCTAACGATCTGGTTGCGACTTCAGATATAATCTTGACGGAAGACAGAACTACCGGCTTTTTCTTGCTGGTGCTGTTGCTGCGATGTCTTCTTCTTCATGCTTCTCTTGGTAAAATTCCTTGGATATCTGTTGCTCCAGAATACACTGAGTATGTTTTTCCCTCTTCCGTAATTCTGTAGTGCTGCAGTGTCTCCGCCTTTTTGAACAGCGTCTGGACGCAGCTCTTCTTGTGGTTCAGTATTTAATCTGCATGTGTCCCTTTTCGGTAAACGCAGGTTAACAGAGCCCCATCTACTTTTCTGTTCAGTAAAGCGTCAAAGAATGATAGGCGGTTGTTTCTCTCCATTTCGATTGTAAACTTGATATCTCGAAATGAACGCTTGAATAGGTCATACGCATCGTGTACTGATGCACGTTTAATCATGACAAAAGTGTTATCTACGAAGCGGATCCATAGACTTGAACTGATGATTGCGGTAACGAGTGCTCTAATCTTTTCATCACCATTTCAGCAATGAATCCTGATATTGGAGATCTCATTTGAGTCCACCAAAGCTAAAGTATGCGTGCATACAAAATTCCAAAGCTCGCATAGACATTCGGGTTTCATGGTTTCTGTGGGGTTTAGGTTATTCCGAAGCAGTTCTTCTACGGTTTATCCGACAAGGGTGGGCCTTGGATGTGACACTAAATGGAAGAATGATTTAGTCATCTCCTATGTCAACGTTCTGTAGTTTGCGTAGAAGTTGGACAGCGCTGTTCCAATTTAGAAATTAAATTCTTCAATCTTCTCCATAAGTCTTTCGCAAATAGGTAGGATGGAGTTTTCAGAAGCCAAATGATTGGTCGGAGTGGAGTTCCTTCTTTATGCATATTTGGTGGTCCGTAGAACTGTACAATGTTGATGTCAACGCCTTTCATTCCCCATTGTTCCTGGCTGGTTATCTCGGGACACGCAACTCAGCTAACAACCAAAGAAATGCGGCTGTACATCCACAAACAGCTGCTTTTGCTAATCTTTACGAACTCTTGGGCCTGTTTACTCGGTAAATCCCAGTAAACTTGATGAAATCAAGCTACAACGCATTAGATAATCAGAGGGAACTGATTAGTTGGGAGAGGTAAAAATGGTACAAGAACCAAGCAAATTACGGGAAGTGGGGCAAGTCGCAACAGAAATCGAAAACCAGTCAGTCAGACTAAGAACACAAGGTTCTCGGTCAGAAATTACTCCGGGCACCAACTGGATTTAGGAAATACAGACAAAAACGCAACAAAACTCAAAAGATGCTAGTGGGATTCCCAGGAATGCGTGTTCCTGTCAGCCAAACACTACTTTGGATACTAGCTAGTTTTTTTTAAAAAATATGTAGAAGCTGACAGTTAAGGTGGAACTACTCATCAAGGTGCGCACTGACAAAGTCATCTCCACTGGAGAAGAAAGGTTTTCAAGCTAATTGGCAATCTTGGCAAGCACGTTTAAGGCTACCTAATCAATCGTCAATACTGAAGGGTGTTTCGATTCATAGGCTTCCATGTAAATACTGAAGCTTTCACCGTATGCAAGGGCTCGACTTCCCTAGTACAATCGGATTTGTGTTACCCTTAGGTGACACAGATATATCTCATCGGAATCCTGGTCTGTACTTTGCAAATGTGCGTCCGAATGAAAATTCCACGAATATTCATAAGTTTACTGAAAGCTCTTCGACCCCCCACGGCAAGTTTCCCTTTCGCCAGGCTCATCGTGCACATTAAGCCCGAAGTTTCCGTCCACCTTATGTTCTGCTTGAGCCTAAATAAGACGCGATTCCTGGGCATCATTCATTTTCACATTAGTTTGATTTGAACGGGTTTCCGTCAACCTTATGTTCTGCTTGAGCTTAAATAAGACGCGATTCCTGGGCATCATTAGATTCGACTGAATTCCAGCTGGCAGTGTACACAAGACGAACATGGGGCTATTTCAGCTACTTAGTAAAGTCGAGTTTCAGCTGGGATCCACTTAGGTATCCTGTTACAACCAAACCAGTGTGCAAATGACTGTATTTCGCGAACTTAATCCGTTTTTGGTGCAAATGAAACGGTCGGTTAGCGTAGATTTGGAACTGCGTCTACCTGATGAGACCGGAGAAAGTTGGAGCCGCTTGTGGACTGTCAAAGAGGTTTCAGTAGCCTTATGCTTAGTGTGGTCCGTTCAGTAATCAGGTTATTCCGGCTCAGAAACGCTGAATTTCAAACCACACAGGAGGATTTGGACCACAGCAAAGAGAATGAATCTGTGATCTCTGAATATACAGGCCATTCAATCTTATCAGTGACCTGGGTTGCATCCTGACGACGCAGCTAAGAAATACCAAGCAACAGGGTCATCTGATAGTTCACAACTTCTGAATGAAGCGAAATAGAGCTCGCGCGTTTTGCAGCAACAAATCTCTTGTTGTCTTGTGTATTTCCTTATAAGAGGTGTCTCGGAGATAACTTTGTAGGTCTTGACACATTTCTTAAACGCCTTTCTTTAAAAAAGACGGCGTGGTGGTATGATGCTGAGTCACTTCCGACAAAATCTTTTCTGCTGATCAGAAACGTATGCGAAGGCAATTAAGGCATTCGGTTAGTTTCTTAACAACTTGGTTTGAGTGTCGAGGAAGATGGTAAAAGGGGTTCAGGCTACTTTGAGCAGACGCAACTGCCTTAGAAAGACCCGACCATTGATGTTCTGGAAGGTGTTGCCTCGTCGCTCATTTTGCTGCGTGTCGAATGCATCCATCGAGGCCATCGAGGCTCTTGCAAACAACCGGCATCATTCAGCGCGTTGGGCTAAATCACAGATGGCACGTGATAATCACCCAGCTATTAAT